AAAAAAAAAAAAAAAAAAAAAAAAAAAAAAAAAAAAAAAAAAAAAAAAGTTTGAATGTTTGGTTCCTAGGGTATAGATCTGTCGAAAGGGACCTGGAAACTCAAATTGCAGTTGCAACAAGGAATACAGAGTTACAAGAGTCATTGCAAAAAGAGTGCGATCGGCTTTTCAGCCGCGCCTTACCAGTGACAAAGCGAACGTTTATAGAAAAAGAAAGAATACCACCAGCATGGGTTCGAGTAGCGGTGTTCTTTTTTCGTTATTACTTTTGAATTGCCTTCTGACTACTTATTTCGATAAAATAAATCGCACATCCACTAAGTTACTTGACAATTATAATAATTTATAGTCCTAAACCAAATAAAGTATTAGTCATTTTATACTCTTACTTGTCGAATTTTTAAAGTAATTCTAATTTAACTGATGTTTGAAAAAAGTTGTTTTTTTTTGCTATAGTAAATGCTAAAGAAATAAACATCTTTTATCCTGAATTAACATTTATTTTTTTCCTTTCGACAATATAAATAAAATAAAAAATCCATAGGCTGGATGATTTTCCATGCTATCCTAAAGGGGAGATGGTAGAATCCAATGTGGTAGTAAAAATATAATAAAAACTGTCTTTGATTTATCTTTACGATCATTTTCTTCACTTTTAAGAAGCCGGTTTATTAAAACCGACTTACTAACAGTTTGGCTGCACTTTCACTTAGCTAACTTGTTTCAAGTAAATTTCTCTTATGAAGCATGAAAAATTACTTTTCCTTAGAGTTTATTAATGGATTTTATTTTTCCTTTTCAAAAAACAGCTTTTAATGGCCTTTTATTTATCAACGATGATTTCTTCTTCTTTTACCAAAAATTCCACAATTTCTTCATCCATATTCTTAGTATCAGAGTCAAGTTCATCGGTATCAATATCTAGAAAAAAACAAAAATATTCATTTTCAAGTAATCACGAAAAAATACGACTGAACTTGGGTTAAATTTTGAACGAGATATTCACTTTTTCGTAGTTCAAGACGACGTTTCTTTTGTGCTTCATATTCGTTTGTACGCTTAGCACGATATGTTTCAAACTCTTTCATGAGAGTACGACGTTTATCAATCAATTCCTGTAATTAAAGTGATGAGTTAGTAATGAATTCAAGTTCAATCAAAGCAACGACAGGAAGTATAATCAATTACCTTTGAAGCACGAGTAAGACGAAGGCGATCCTTGCTTTCAAATGTAGAAGAGTATTTTTTAAGATTTTTCTTAATATTTTTTATCTGCTCGGCAGTCAGCAGGGTCGGTGGCCTTGGTCTCCACAAGAATTGACTGAATAGATTGACATTGACTCTCTTTAAAATTCTACCCTGGAACGACCATATCCAGTAACCAGTATCAGGTGTCGTCTTCTGGTGCATGGTCACTGATGTGACAACATACCTAAAAAGGGATATCGTTCAAGCATTTCCTATGAAATAATAATAATGATAAAAAAATAAACTGCTAATTACCGTCCAGTTGGATCCCACTCGACCTGGGAACACTGGTAATGTTCCGCCATGTTCATGATGGTAAAATCATTGGTGTCAACAAACTCAAGATTATGGGACATGGAAGGATTAACCAAAACGATAAACTGACCAGCAGGTGACCAATACAGAGAAGTACATGTTTTCTTTTCTAGTTTTTCTGAAATGATCGAAAAAAAAAAATATAATTTCCAATAGTTTTTACATATCAAAATGTAATAAATATTCAATTGCTGATAAATGAAACTCACTTAAAAGTAAAGGACCTTGCCCACAGCGCACTTCATAAAAACTAACACTGGCACTGTTAGGCAATTCGCCGTGAATAATGGCGAATTTGTTACCTATGGGCTCCCAAGCAAAAGAATGAATGGGCTCTTTTATCTCTACACTGTCAACGGGAATGAGCTTCTCACGTAAGTGAAAGATTTCAAAGTTGTACGACATTCCCTGAAAGTGTTGTGATGTTTGAAATTTACAACTTTCCTAAAAAAAAAAGGCAAAATGACAATTAGTAAATTAAAATGTAAAAATTTTGTAATTTTGGATGATGTGAATATGAATGGTCCAAAATTCGACTTGCAGAAGCTCAAAGATAACACTACTGGAATCTCATTGGTAGATTATAGAGATAACCTCGAGAAAAATCAATAAAATAAACTATCAAATAAATAAAACAAAGTTAGTTAAATGTAAAAGTAAAAAAATTAACTTGCAACAGTAGACATTTAAATAAAGATATACAAAAAAGAATCGTTAACATTCGAGTGGATGTAAACATCAGTGACTAGTACAGTTTTACCCGATGCAATGTGAAGTTGAGATGCAGAAAAGAAAAATTTATTTACCGTGTATTTTTGTTCCGTCTTTTCCTTCTTTTTGGCAAATCGGTCAACTTTGACACACAGATAGTCCCCAGATTTTTGCCAGTAAATCTTACAATCAGCTACATTGAACAGATTGTTCTTACGAATTTCATTGCGACTGAAATTCAATACAGATTTTTAAAATAATTCATTAAATTCAAGAAACTAGAATTTCTGGTGATATTTACCTTGGAATCTCCATTAATGTAACTCTAGCAGGTACATCTTTGTCTTCAGGTACCCAGAAGGCAATAATGTTGTCAGTCGGTGACCAACTGAAATCTCTGATTCCTGGGATCTTGATACTTTTCTTGTCCAGCAAACCAAATGACTAAAAAATGTCCACAAAGTGAGAAAACGTCAACTGAAACACGAGAAGTTGGCATGATAAAAACAAGCAATGTATACCGGAGTCTCATAGACACTGAGCATATCCTCGCTCATGTAGGCGACATATTTGTCATTGTAAGACCAGCGGAAAATCGGGCATATGTTTGGCCCTTCCGGATTGAATGATCGCTTTTCCTGTCCTGTAAGAATGTCCCACATGACTAGGCGCCTATCACTGCCTTCGCCATAAGACGTAGTGACGAGATAACGCTCGCATGGCGAGAATTCAAGTTCGTCGACGCTCTTTTGGGAGAATTTGACCTGTTGAAGTAATTGAGGTCCACCCCACAGGGCCACTCCGAGTTTGTGGAAAGTGGCAAAATAAGTACCCAATGGCGACCATCTGACGTAAGTGTCGGTCCATCGCTAAAATTGGTATTCAATTTTAAATGATAAAGAATATAAGAACAAACAATGACACTATTACTGATTTTTTGTTATAATATTAATCACCTGTCGGTCTTCGATGGCAATAGGTTCCGGCTGACAGTTCTGCCAGACTTGTACATGGGTTGATCCTGGATTACCAGTGACAGTGGAAAATTGATCGTACGCATCTGGATCAAGCAAATAACTGTGCAAATCCGTCGCAGCTTTGAATGGCTGAGGTTCTGGTGGCGTCCAGTCTTCGGGTATGTTTTCAAACTTCTTGAAGTCTGTGAAAAGATTTAGCTTGAAGGTGTGCACTTTGTCAATCTTGTAGTTGTTTGCCTGCTTTATGGCATTCAGAGCACTTGCGGGATTGCTGTATTCAAAGAACACGTACCTACAAAAAAACAAACGACACGTTAAAAAAAAAAAAAAAATGGAGATACAGAATGAGAAAAATGGTCAAGGTTTTACCCTTTGGTCATTCCATTTTCATCTTGAGGATAGTATTTGTTGACTATCGTTCCAAATTTTCCATAAATCTTTTCTATAACAGTCTGAAGCTTCTCCAATCGTTTGGGCTCAACCTTGGGCACCCCATCTATGACGATCACGGATTCAACACCATCTGTCTCCGAAGGCTTCTGACCGATGATATCTGCCAGCAGCTCTGCAATAAAATAATCAATCGTCCAACTGCTTTGAGGCCATAAACAATACCAAATCTACGACTTCTTTATTTAGAGTTAGACACGTAAAAAAAAAAAAAAAAAAAAAGCGCACAGGTGAGCCATTATTGCAACGCAGGTACGCAAGTATACTTGTAAAGAAGAGTCGCAGGTACGTGGACAGGGCGCGGAGCAGAAATGAAAAAAGAAAGAGGTTAGAACGCGCCGAAGGCCGAAAGGGACGGACGCGCGTTGAAAACGCAGCTCGAACTTTGCTCCAAGAGCACGAGGAAGCCGTGCCCGACCAACAGGAGTACGGGAGTACACCAGAGCAACACAGCTGGCAACGACTCCGGGTAAAACGGTGCCAAGCCATGCGGTCTCCCGGTCACACTCGGGGCACGCATAAAACGTCACTCGTGGGGGACTCACCCTCGTCCGGGATGTCGTCGACAAAGTCCTCGGGATCACTGAAGTTCGGCTCTTCATCGGGATTGACGTCGTCGCTCGTTTTGCCCGCATCCTCGGCCGACTGGGCCTTGTCCGACGAAGACTTCTTCGCCATGTTTAGCCTAAAGAACGAGCATCAGCCGCGCAACCGACGTGTATATTATGTATCGTGCTGGTTCTGCTGATCCAACTACTACTACTCTCTCTCGGCGTGGGACGCTATACAAGTATTCTATATAGGTGTATATTATACGCGGTGCAGGTCGTCGGCTTGTGTATATAGACATAGACCAAGATGAGCAACTCTCTCTTGAATCTGTGCCTTTTTCTTCTTTCTCCTTTGTATAAAAAAAACATATACTTATACGTTTATTGTTTTTGCACTTTGTCCCAACTGTGAGACAAATTGTTTTTTCACGCGCAATCGTACGTGTCGCGTTTGTTTGTTTTTTTGTTGTTGTTGTTTTTTTAACCTTTGTAATATTTTCGGCTCCGTAGATGATGAATTTCGTCGAAAATGAAGCGCCAGTCGTTAACGAAATCAGGGAGTGCCGAGAAAAAGGACGATAACGTCTCAGGTATACGATAAAAATAGGAAAAAAAAAAAACTTGGCAAATTGTTGATCCTATTATTGTTTTGTTACAGAAAAACCACCGCGAATTTCCCAAGTATCGCGAGTTTCGCGAGTGTCGGTTTACGATCCTCGTGCCCGTTCTAGGAGCAGAGTCAGCTCGGATTTCGGTGCCCATGGTCAAGGTTTCGCTTGGAGGGCCAGCGGCAAGGGAAAGTTTAAGGTATATTTTTTCATTGATTTGCACACATCACAATGAGGTAAGTTATTTTATGGCGATTGTGACGAATAAAATATGTAAAACAAACGCCCGAAAGACTCCGAAGTACCAGAACAGCTACAGGCTCGAGCCGTACTTGCCGTTCAAGTTCGAGTTTTCCGACAAACTGCTCGTCCAAACGATGACCCAAAAACTCGAGAACCTGCGCTACGATCCCGAAACTTGCGTCGAACTCTGCCAGAGCATGGCCGGGGAGATTCGCGAGAAGCTTTACAAGACCGATTACGACCGGTTGACATTAATATGTATACCATTATACAGTAACCATGAGTATTTTTTTATAATGCATAATATCTTAACGTTATAGGGTCAAGTATGTCGTCTCGATGACGATAATAGAAAATGCGGGACAGTCGCTGGTTGTGGGAAACGGAAGATTGTGGGACAGCGAAAGGGACACTTATTCGGTGTTCGTCTTTGACAATCCGTTCTTGTATGCCGTTGGATTGGTCGTGGCACTCAACTATGAATAAACCCCCTTTTTTTCCCCCAAAACACCGAAAATTTTACAATTATGGAGCTCAAAGTGTATGTAAAACGGTTGCAGAGTCAGAAAAAAAACCTTAGTTTTAACGCAAATGAAAATACAATGTTTTTCAATATGTAAATCGAATAAAACTTCTGGTAAGGCAGTATTTGATACTTGAATGGAATGACGTCAATTCAAATGTAAAAATTCAGTATTTTTTGAAAGTGGTAATTGCTTAACATTCAGTTAGAAAACAGGCTGTGATTGGTTCCCTTTTCAACAGCCAATAAATAATTAGTATCCAGCCAATCCGAATAGCAAGTTACAAATTCCATGTTAAGTAGTTGCATCTAGATACTTATAATCTGTATGACTCCAAACAATAAAGCCCTCGTGAGGCCTGCATGCCATATACATCAATGTACTCATTGAAGTTTAGTTTGTCTTAGTTGTTGGCTTGAAATAAAATTCTTAAAGCATATAAACTTAAAGAGACTCTTGGTTTGTTTTTCTATAGTGAAAGTGAAAACGTTAAAATCACATCAATAGAATTCACAAAAATCAAAGGTAATTATAATTTCAGTATTCAAGTATTTCTCAACTCATATACTTTACATTAGATTTATTTGGATTTATATACTTTCCGATTCAGATATCCTGAGCGCTCCGGTTTACTCTCGTATACATTATCCATAACTATGATACTCTCTTTCAATATATAGATGCACCTATATTTCTACAGCACGAGAGTGACCCGGTACCCGGGGCGCTTTGGACCGGAAAGCCGAACACAACTACTAATTAAATACAGACAACTGAATGCCAATAAAAATCAACTATTTAAGAGTACGAATATGCACAAAATAATCTTTGATTGTTGTTACTGTCTTTTATTGTGTTTTGCATCCTCTACAATGTCCATCAGAAATTATGATTTCTACTAGTTTACATTTACTGGGGTATTGTGTTTCTTACGATAACCAAAATTTGTGCTGACACTTCTTATCTGCCTGATATAGCTTGTCCATGAAAATAACATTGGTAAATATATCACATTCAACCTCAATTCACTTATACAAACGGGATTTTTAAAGTTACTTTGTGTGTTATAGTGATTGAACATAATTTTTTCAGTGGCTAAAAAACATATTCGATCTTATTAAAAAGAGTATGAAGATAAATAATAAAATCATCTGCATACTGATATGAACAGGAGTTCAAAAAGAACAGTATGTGATGATGATGAAACAGGAAGAAGTTTGTTACATTATGCATGTATAAAAAATAATCTGCTTTACTATTAATTTAATAAAAAATGGTTACAATATAAACCAAAAAAATTTCACTGAGAGAGCACCTATTTTGAATGCTATACGGAATAACAGTAAAGAAATAATAGATCTTTTATTAAAATTTCAAGCACATCATGAAGTCATTTATTACTCCTTCCCTTCTGGTCGTCTCATACATATTGCAGTGTTTAGTGGTTTCAAAGATAGTGATGTAAGATACAATTAAAATATCTAATAAATTTAGAATTGACGTCAAAGAAGTTGGCTGGTTCGATGACATGACCCCCTTACAGTGGATATGCAGTAAAATGTGGTGTAGGCGAGTAGGACATTATTACTGAGTTACGTCAAATAATCCTAAATAATATGATTCCCTTTTTTAATCGACATTCAATGCTCTAAATTTTTTTTCTTTTTGTCTTTTATTAATACGTTATTTTATCGGTTATCAAAGTAAAAGTGCAGCAACTGCTGATATGTATGAGTTTCATTCTTTTTTTTTTCGTATTTACAATATTTCACAATCAACATTAATAATAAATTACCATAGTAAATAATTAATATGTGTGGCCAATTTCGTAATGTGAATTTCATTATTTTTTAAGTAATGGCCATTTGTAAAGCAAATAAAGTATTTATTTTGCAACTCGGCATATTTTAATTTTGGATATAAAAATTATGAAATTCCCTGAAAACTCGTCAGAATTTTTTTTCTATAGTACATGTGAAGGTATAGCTTTTTAACTTTATATGACATGATAAATATATCTTCAATCATATCAAAATCATTCTCGTTATATTTTTTGTTGAACGGCAAATATGCAGTACTTCCAAACACAAATTATTAAAAAAAAAATTTTTAAACATTGTTTATTATTTNCATACTCGCGAGCTTACGAAAAAATTCTCCAAAACTCGCTCTTATATTCACTTTCGTATATTTATTTATATATATGTATATAACAGCGACAAGTACAATGTATCGTTATGATTAATTAGTGATAATCATAGTCGAAAAATCTTATCCCCGATTATCAGTAAAACCAAAGTGGTGAAGATTTCTTGTTATTTTTTCTTTTTTTTTTGTTTACCACAAGTAACGATCGTTCGTTATTCGTTTTAAATATCTTTTCACGAGTCCATCACCGTCACGTAAGTGGGTATTCCTTTTTTTTTTTTTTTTTTATATTTTATTAGTACTATTACTTGTTTTCATCTTTACGTCTCGTATAAATACAGATATACAGAAAAATAATACTGCACCAACGTTGTGGAATATCATATATATTTTATGTATTCATTTCTCACGTAAAAGTATGCCTATTTGACGATGCGAGAGATACAAATCACAGGCCGTACAATAAGTGAGCTGCCCATTTTATGTACAATAACACTTTTCCGCAAGCCATTACCTTTTCATTTACTTACGCTAATCGACATTTTTCTTTCATTACGAGATAAATCGATAAATCAGGATAATATGTAAAAAAAAAAAAAAAAAATTATCCTGGTAGCTTTTTATTTAGACCAGACCAGACACAAACTTGGCTATCATCGTGTCGGTTAACATGATTATTTTTATTTTATTTTTTTTTCTAACATATCTTTTGCACGAGTCTTTCCTTTCTCGTGTTATATCTACTTCACTTTTTCACTTGGTCCATTTTTTTTCGACGCCTTTGTCTGTATGTACAAAAATTCATGCGTGAATCTCGCAGTTAAACGTGAAAAAAAAACTTGTTTTAAGTACCCGATTTCACAAAAAAAGATTTTATCCCCAAAATTAGGGGGTTGTCAAAAAAATTGTTTGTCTCGGTCAAATAACATGTTACCCTCGTGAGTTTAATGCATGAAATAAAGGAGTGTTATAAACTTTACTTTATTTTATTTATCACAATGATTTTCTTAAATGAAAGCTAGTTTTTTTTATTCCCAACTAAATACCTACACGAACCCCCTAGCTTCGATTAACTAAAAAAAAATTAAATTTGTTGAAAATTTACATTTTTTATAAAAATCCAAAAAACTTCATAAGCTTACTACGATGTGTGCGATTGTAGATGTTAATTAGAGCTGAAGTAAAAAACTAGTCTTGATTTATCAAAATGAAATGATGATTAAAATATTACAATATTACAAAGAATATTCGATTTAATTTGACCAAGAGATACTATACTTTTGACAAGAATGAAATTTTAAGAAAAAACTATACCATTAAAAAGTATTTTCAAATAAAAAAAACTGTATATTCCACATCGCTGTTGACAGTAAGGAAATTTATCAAAGTTTTTAAATTTTCCTTAACTAAACAATCTGTTTTCAAAAAACTTCAATTCATATTACATAAGTAATTCCTCTGTGTTCTTTCGCAGTTACTTTAAGTATTCGACACATTATATTTCCTTGCATTCTATTCCTCGTATATGACACATTTACAGTAAGTAACAACACCTTGATTCCACGAGCATTGAAATTTTTTTTCATTTTTTCTTATTTCCATCTTTTAATTAATGCACAAGTGATTTTTATCCTGAATTTTTTCATTCCGTAAATTTAGTTGATTATTTACTTGTTTAATTTCTGCAAGTATCATTCTACACTTTTGAACAGTTTGAAAATTTTTAACTTCAATTTATTTTCATCTGAGATAAAATTAATGCAAAATTTTCCTTTCTTTTTGCGAAGCAATTGTTTGAACAAGTAATAGATGAAATCAAGAATTTTTATTTATTCACAGTATTTTGATTTTATTTATAGTTAGACAATAACAAATGATACATAATAATTATTACAATAGTTGTTCATCGTACAGTTGTAAAATGTAACATCACTTTCTTTATACGAAAATTAAGTTTGTATTGCTTTAATAAAATTTTTAATTATAAACACTTAAAGATTATTAATGGCTTAAAATTTGAAAAAAAAGAGTATACACATATTTATAAAATTAACGACGGAGAGCAAGTACAATATAAGTACAATATGATTATAAAAATTGTAATCAATTTTCATAACTATCACGTGTCATGGTTATATTATGAAATTTCACCGAACACAAACCAGGTTTATTTTATGTGGCAAAATAATTATATAATACAATAAAAACGTTNAGGTATAAGCTTACGGCAAAAATAAAAAAAAAATACTTTCATTGAAGGCTCCACGTTATGAAGTTTGTATCCAATGCAAAATAAAAATGCAAAATTTTTTTCATACATTACCAAACAATAATGGCAATTTTTGCGGACCACAGCCAACAGATCACAGCCAATGAGAAGAAGACCATTATTTGAACAGTGACGGCTCCTAAGAAATTTTAAAAACGACGCTCTAGAATATAAATCAAGCACTCCTTTAATTATACTTCTTTTTTTTTTTTTTTTTTTTTGTTCGACTCAGCTTTTCGTGGCACAAATTGATTTCTTTCTCTCGCGTAGTATAATATAGCATATGTATAATAGACGATGCCATTATATTGTTTTGCGTTTCACACACACACGTACATCGCTTTTTCATTCGAACCCCGTTTTACATGTTGCGCGTAATAATGAACGCTTTTCCATTTTTTTTCTCACCCACACACACCTTACGTTTTACTTTTTGTTTCCTTATAATAAAATACACATTCACGTAATTACAGTATGATTACTTTTCGTCTTTCCTTTTGTTTTGTTTCTTAACAATCTAATTGTGTAATTATATGTTTGAATGTATTGTTTGAAAATGTTTTGCTTCCTTATCATGTATGTGCGTGATACCTACGAATCGCTAATACCATATTAACTTTTTTTCAATTTCTTATACGTAATCGCCATCGATAAGTCCCATTTTTTTTTTTTTACGTACTTAATGCTTGTCTTATTTTATTTTTCTTATACCATATTTATCCGTATATACATTGTGTTCGCAGAAAAATTTATTAAGAGTCGGATATCCTGAAACGTACAATATTTCACTTTTTTATTTATTTATATATATAACCACATACTCGCGAGCTTACGAAAAAATTCTCCAAAACTCGCTCTTATATTCACTTTCACGCTATTCTTCTTTTTTTTAAATTATTTTTGTTAGATTTTTTTGTCTCTCCTTGCGCATCCAAACCTTATCCCAATTTACGATTCTTGTAAAAAAAATGCACTATCGAGCTCGCCTCAGTTTTTTTTTTTATTATACTGTCAAGTCTTTTTTTTCACACTTTCTGGTTTACAAGATTTACCTTTTTTTGTTTCCTCAAGTCTAATTTATTCTTTTTCTTTTGGCTCTTTCGTAATTATTTCCTTTTTTTTTCTTTTATATTTATAACGTATGTAACAAGAACCCCCTTTTTTTCCTTTCTTCTATCCAATATTTTCTCCACCTCCTTTGCAATCAAATTGCACGTATTTACACAATGTACCGTCTCGTTTTGTTTTCACCCTATACTCTCATTTTGTGAAACGCAATCAAAAGATACCAACAAATACCGCGTCAAAGGGGACGAATCAATACACTCTCCCGTTAATAATCAAAGTATTTGCGTTAAGTACCTAAGACATACAAATATTTACAAGTACATTTTCCTGCGCTCTATTCACCGCGAATCTTTTTTTTCTCTCCTCACCTCTGTGATTGGATTGATACAAGTTTCTTTATTTTTTTTTTTTTTTGTTTTTTTTTTGTTTAAGGCATTGTTTTTCTCTCTCCTGCAACAACACCCGATAAATGGCTCCCCATCGATCCTATACATCAAAAAATCGTTTCCGGACCCGAAAACCTACATTTGGCAGTATGGCAAATAAAACGCGTTTGCTCAAGATTCCTTATTTTTAATCCCTCGCTCGATGAAAAGAAAAAACAAAACGCAAACAGCAAAAGAACCAATTTTTTCTTTCTTCTATTCCTTTGTTGTTTTCGTTTACATTTTAGCTCTGCGCGAAAAATCCAATGACCCCAAAGCTCGGGGTAACGTACCGAAGAAAACTCGCAACTCGAAAAGAAAGAAAATCGGCAGTGATTCGACTACGCGGTACAGGAAGATGAGGAGCTCTCTCGCGTTCAGTCGTCCGGGGCCGAGCGGGCACTGCATCATCATAGGTCATCATCGTGCGCCCAAGTGGCGAGGCAGCAGCGCGACGACGATAACAGCGCTCGACCAATGGCCGCGGCCCCGTGTGTCATTCCTGCAACTGTATGACGGGCTCCCTCTTTCGGAAATTAATGTTCTGCGAGGCGCAAAAGTCCCTGGTGAGGGGCACGCAGTTGAAAAGCTTGCACAGCTCGCACTCGTACATGGGCACACTGTAAAACAGCACGAGGAGCATGGCGAACAATCCGACGATCAGACCGAAGCACGCCCATATGAGGATGATCTTGCGCCGGCGATCGTAGCTACCGAACGTGATGAAGGGCATGAGGGCGTAAGCTGCCAGGAAGCCGAATATGAAGCCAAACAGGTGCGAGTAGTTGTCGATCCAAGGTAGAATGCCGAGCAGGAGGAGAAGCACGAACACGAGGATCAGTTTGGTGAGGGCGCGCCGGGGGTGCTTTAGCATCGGCCAACAGTGGAGCACCTCGACCACGAGGGTCGCCAGTAGTGCGAAATGGGCCCCGGCCGGGCCAACCTGGTTACGTACGTTTTTTCATGAGTATACCTACCTATACCCTATGATTGGCTAGTTTGGATAATGGGTGTCATATGTGTATTCATATACGTACGTCAGCTCTGTAGGGCACGAATATGGCGCTGGCGAGGTTGCCCGCGAGAGCGCCGGTGAAGTAGATGAGGGCGATGCGCACCGAGCCGGTGAGCTTCTCCAGGTCCCGCATCAGGAAGTATTGGACGAGCAGCGTGATTATGATGTGTAGGATTCTAAACAAAAAAAGTGTAAGCAAAGTTTAAGATTATGGTGTGATATTTTTGTTGAAAAATTTCCAAGCGATTTATTCGTCATAAGTGTTGTTCACCGTTTATTAAGTATATTATAGGGTAAGTGATGACCAAAAGAATATTTTTTTTTTAGAGGGTTTATCTCAATGTATAATTTATTACAGAAATTCTTTTTAATATTACGCCACACTCATTTTATCACTGAAAATAACACATCAAAGTTTTAGAAGACCCACTAGCTTTATGGTTATTGAAAAACTAAATTAAAAATATTTTTGTTTTTCCATGAGCTCTTGTGGGGAGGTCATTGCTGATTTTTGCCATTTACTGTACCGCGATTACCCCCTTTGACTTGATAAATATTATTCTAGAAACGAAATGAATAATTTTGCTTAAACTTTTTCTTATTTTATAGCATAGAAAGCCCCATTTTTTTGAAACAAGAAAATATTTTTTTCACCCTTATTCCACTCGACATTTTTTTGCAAGTAAAAAAAAAATCAAAAGTTCGTTGAACTAAATCCTTATTTTATGGAACAAAAAATTTCTTCCAACCACTTACACTAGATATTATTTTGCAATTAAAAAAATAAAAATTCATTGAAAAAAGTATTTTATACATTAAAATAGTTGTTTATTTATTCAAGTTTTGTTTATAGTTTTTGAAAAGGTGGTAATTTCATAGAATCAATCATTATTTCCGATCCCATCACATTAAATATTTTTTTGCAACTAAAAAAAATTAGTATCACATTGAAAAAAGTATTTCACATTACACTCAAATGATGGTTAATTAAAAAAAAATTTTCAGTCTAATAAAAAAATAATAATTTTATAACATAAATTTTTTTCCCGACCTTATCACAATCAGTATTCTTTTTGTAAGTAAAAAAGTATTAAAAGTTCATGAAAAAATTTTTTTTTACTTTAAACTCAATTAATTTTTTAATTTGCTTAGTTTATTGATAAATCTTAATTTGTGGTATAAAAAAATTTTTCCAGCCTTATTAGTTTATTGAGACAACATTAATTTTATAGAATAAATTTTTTTTTTCGATCGATAAAGTTATTGAACGGAACAAGCGTCAAGAAACGTTACTCTGACGGTTGTATCGCACGAAAATGGTACTAGGCGAGGAAAAAAAAGGCGTCTCGTCTTACCCCGCGTGCAGAAAGATCGTGGTGAAGAGCCTGTAAAACTGATCCGGCCACAACGGATTCAGAAACGGTATCATGCCGCAGACGTCGTGCAGACACTCGACCTGCGAGCACAGCGAGGCCTCCTCGTGGAAGAATCCCCGAACAAAGTCGCAGTACTCCTTGGTCGTGATCCTACAGCTACCGTGTATGCCGATGCAGCAGGGATGGCCGATGACCTCGCAAATCATGTGCTCGGCCATTTTGTCCTTGTACCGGCTGACCGGGAAATTCGCGTTACCCGGCGCGTCCTTGCTCCGAAACCGCTGAGTCAGGGGATTCGTCTTCCGACAAATCGGCCACTTGGTTATGTCGTCCGGCCACTCGTACGGCGCCACGCTCGCCGGCGCGTCGCAGAACTTTGGATCCAGACCGCACACCGAGCCGCTTATCCGGCCGCCCGGTCCGCTCTCCGCTGTACCCCACTTTTTCCACCGGGATATCGTGTTCTGCCGAGCAATTGTCGTCATGTTATTTTTTCATCGCCTACTCACATCCGCTCAATACAACTTTTTTTTTTTTTTTTTCCCAATGTTTGTTACACAAATTAAATTGTTTTATTTTTGCTGCAAGTGAAGTGTATGTATATTATGTATGGTAAAATATATAAATGACAAATGTAAACACAAGTAATATAACAACAGATGCATCTACGACAAATTCGTGCTTAGCAACAAGTGAAATGTTCATTACCGTGGAGGTCGAGCTCATTCCCCGGACCAGTTGGTTTTTAAAAGAGAACAAAAGTCACGCATTATCATAAAGCCTTTTTTTTTTTTTTTTTTCATTTTCTTTATTACATACGTATTGAAAATCGCGTCGAATCGGCAAAAATACTTACTGAACACTCGGCTCTGCTCGACTGCACGCAGCCCGAGTCGTCGTTCCTGATGCAGCAAGCGGTGTCGCGCTCCTTTTCCCGCCACACGTCTATCTCCTTCAGTATCTTGATGTCCCTCCTCATGCAGGGCGCGAATTTCGCCCCCAAGTGTATCAGATCGGCGGCTCGCGGCCCTATCCAAAAGTTCGCCGGTTCCTCGTACTCGACTTGCTGCAGCGACAAACTCGTCACCAGCACCTTAAACAATTCACCATTTTTTTTTTTTTTTTTTTTAATTTGGAATCGAAAATCAATTTCCGAGGGCGTACCGATCGTGAAATTGGATTAAATACATTATAAAAAAATCTCCGGGTGCGTGATGCGTTAGTTATCCATCATAAATATATCGCACGACGGAAGCGTGGGTGGGTGTTATTTGCATATTCGCTCGTTTATACGTTGCAAAGGGTAATTTCATCAAGCGTCGCGCGAATAATTGGGTACGGGATTAAATATACCGATGGATGCGCGAGTAATTGAAAAAAAAAAAAAAAAAAAAAAAAAAGTAATGAAAATTAAACTCACCAAGCTGGATCTGTGATGGAGGTCAAAGCCAATGGGGCCGAAGCCGTAGCAGACGAGCGAGATTACGAGGATCAAAATCTGGACGGTCGTTATCCAGTAGGTGAAGTAAGGCCGGTGATCCTCGATGTCGTCGAGCTGCTTTCTCACGTGTGGCTTTTGCGCCACGCTCTTGCGGAACGATCGACTGCGTGTCACAAATTTCACGTTATGTACATAAGTATTAATTTTGATTTTTTTTTTTTTTTTTTACATTGTTTCGTTTAATCCTGCACTGTAAAATCCAAGTGTGTTAAAATACACGTTTAAAGTGTGCAATCGAAATTTTCGTTTTTTAAAATATTTTAACTGTAAAAATGATGGTTAGAACGATAAAAATTACTATGCTGGAACAGTAAACCTTAAAAGGATTGGTTCATAAATTTTACTTTCCCACACAGAAATTTTTACTATTCTAACCATAATTTTAACTATTTAAACTATACTTTCAACTGTTGAAACAATAATTTTTACTGATAAAAATAATAATTTTGTTCCTTTTTTGCCAGCTTGCATTCGGTTTATTGTGTAGAATGGTAATTTTTGCTGGAATTTCTCTATTATTATTATTATTTTTTTCTCTTAATGTTGCAAAATAACAATAAAAATAATATAAAAAATATTATT